AATAGCTACTCAGATTAAACAATATAGTACAATTTGAAAAATTCCTCGGTGTAAAAGAGACCCATTGTTCAATGTAACAAAATGGTTCCATCCACAATCGCAAGTCAACATTCTTTTGAACGGTCTATTCTACAAAAGCGGGATACGACTTTAAATCCTGTTCCGCACGACGCTTAGCTGAGCGCATCCAATTGCTGAAACTTAAAGATAAGAAACAAATAAAAACTTTTTCTTCAAAATATTTGAAACTTTCTAGTACCAAATGATTTCAAGCGCTCAGCTGCAACCAAATCCAGTCTTAATACAACAAATTACTAAAGCAAAACTTTCATCAAATTCCGAACACGCTACATATAATGATCGTCTGACCATCAAAACTACAATTTCCGAAAAATTCAAAAATTCAATAAAATTCAATTTCCGAAAAACCACAAAACAGGCAGAAAGCTTCAATAGTTTTCATCAAGAGGCACTGCCCAGAACTTTCCACTGAAGGGGTTAACTCAGGTAAACAAAAGATGCTTCGTAGCAAAATCCTTCATTCTACCCATTTTTGCCTTAAACCCTCTTGATCCTTCTCAAACTCAGTAGAACATTTCAAAACACTACCTTAAATTATTCAATTACCAAACTAGTCTTATTTTTTCAGTTGCTGAAACCATAATCTAGGTTCTAAAGTGAATCATAAAACAAAAAATGAAATAGTATCTGAAAGTATCGCAAAACTAATTTTTTTATCCTCTGTGAGGCAAAATTCAACCTTCTACATCTGTCCTTTTTTACACATTCTCTTGTATTTCAAAAAAGCTTTCAAAACAGTTTGACAAAAAACCAGATGATGAAAACCTCATTGCACTTCCATGTCGTCCAGTCAAAAGCAATACTCTCCGAAGATCCTTCGCAGAAAGATTTCGCTTGAAGAGGCTAAAAAGCGAATACAGTTGTAAAGCTTCTTTTGCCGCATTAAGAGCCACTGAAAGTAAAATTACAAGTAAATAGAAGGTTAAAACTCTCGAATTAGATGAAAGTAATACCGCAAAGACTGATAACTTCAGCTTGTAATGTTCGCAGAAGGGAACTACGAGGATAAAAGTCAACAAACTGTAAAAACATTCTCGTCAACTGTAAGTTAGATTCCAGTTTCTGAAAATTACTTGAAGTGAAAATGACACAAGCTAATCGGAAAAAATTTCACAACTAAACAGCAAAAAAAAATGAGTTTTTTTATTTTATTATTCGGCTAAAAAATTCTTGGAAAGAAATTGCCAATTTAATTATAAAGCAACGGGTAAAATTATAAACCTCAGAATTGGGAACAGAAACAGAATTAAGCAACTTTAAAGACCATAGAGCGTCAGCAGCAGTTGTCTTGCTCTGAAGACAAATATGATTTAATTCAGCAATAACGTTATCAAACTCAGAAATAAAGATTTAAAATTAAAAATAACGATAGTTTTTTTTTGCAAAGCTGCCGTTTGACGACTAACAGTAACGAGTATTTCTTCAGCACGCCTTAGTTGTCTGAGTTCTACGCGCACAATAGCCTGAACTGCTCCTATTTCGCTCAATGAACAAAAGTTCTGAGCTCTGTGAATGACTAAAATAAAAACCATTTATTTCTTTAGAAGCTTCATCGATCTAATAGTGTGAAAATACTTAAATCGAACACCCGGAGAATTGCTTTATTATGGTGACCTAAAATCATGTGTTGAAAAGATACAAAAATACAACTTGAAAGCAAAATGAAAAAGAATGTCTATATACTGAATTCCGCGGTTCGTTGATCATCCAATGCAAAATAATGTTTCAGTAGAGGATAAACAGCATTCAAGCAATCCAGTTCTGCACAACAATGTAACCAAGCTTCAGTACTCTGACTCCATCCGGTTCTTAAAAAAATAAGAAATTTCAAAAACTACTCGGTTAAAGAATGTAAACTTGAGTTCACCAAAATATAATTTATTTTTAGTAGCTGGCTTCTATGAAAAAACAAATACAGAGAGAAAAAACGTTTTAGTCCCCACCTTTGAACCATTTGACGAATTAAAAAGATAGTTATAATTTCATCACGATTTAGCTGGAGAAATTCCACTTTCACCATCTCCTTTAAAAGCATTATGAGGTAATAAAAGACCTCCGCATTTACAGGCGATTCAAGAGAAAAGTACGAAGAAATAAAATCCTTAGCAGCGTTCGTGGTTTGTTTCGCATTTTCCGGCTCATATGCTGCTTTAAAATATAAAAAAGCATAAAATTCTGCATTGAAAGGAAATGTAATTTAGCTATTTCAGTCCCTAGTTCAGGTTTTAAAAAAACAAATGAATAAATTTTGCAGATCATTAATACCAAATACACTGTGGTTGCAAGCATCTTATTGAAAAAAAAGTACCCAAAACAAACATTACCAAAAAGAAAAAAATAACCATAAAATTTAAAACGAGAAACGAAATAGTTGAGACGTTCAAAGAAGAATAGTGAGCTAAAATTGCTTTCCAAATGTTAGTCTTAGGATTTTAATACTGCTAAT